ATATTTGTGGCGTTTGGATCGCGCTTAGGTGCACTGCCTTGAGTTTCGACAATAACTGCAGAAACTGAATAACTTACTGAAATCTCTTTTAAGGTCCAGTCCATATTTGTTGATAAGCTCTCCACTATCTTGTCCTGCAGCTGATTCACTTGACGTACCTTTGTCATCCTCTGTCCCTCCCACCTGAGCATAAAAATCACTGCCTTGGCTTCCTTGACTTCCATCGTTCATAGCATTTGTCTTTTTCCTTTTCGAGCCCTTGCTGACTTTTTTCTTGGGTTTTAAGATTTTTGGAAGTTTATTAGAGTCGTTAGAAGAGTCAAGCTGGAATCCAGTGTCACTCGGTTTCTCAGCCGTGCTTTTCTTCCCAGAATTCATTGCCAGATAGCCAGTTTCACCAAAAACCTTGAGTCCATACATGTCATTGTTGTTCTGATCCAGGTCATTCTCGGAATATGTTTGCAATCCATCACTACCTCGAGAACCTGATGTTTTGCTAAAGGAAGGTGAATTTCTTGCTGATGGAATGGGTGGCATCAGGGACACCTTCCTCAGTCTTGTTCCCTGGATGTCAGTATACTGTTTATTAGTATAGAGCTAATAACTTTCTACCACAAATGCAGCAACCTGATTGGCTACGATACGCACTGAATGAAGGGGGTAAGTTTAGAGAGAAACTGTGGTGCTGCGTTGGTGGGGGTAATTATTGAAGATAATTTGGTTTCATCAACTGGGTTGATAATATGAATTGGCCACTGTAAAGCTGACGTCTCGAGCTTCATAATTAGCCCTTTGTTAGAGATTTTCAACCATTAAAGTATAAACCTAAGATTTCTATCGTGTAGTAACTGATGAAGACGAAGCTTGAATTATCTTTCAAGAATAGAAATCTGGTGCGAATATTTTACCTCTGCGACAGTGTCCTCGCTAAAAGTCAGTTCTGAGCTATGAAAGCATAGACGCGTTTTACTGGTAACAAAAGCGTTCATAACACGACTGGAAGGGTCATACCTAACCATAATTAGATCATCTTATATTTTTAACTCATACGGGACTCCGATATGCAAATAAATCATGCACTCACTCCCTCACTAAGATGTAGACACTGCGGTAATAAGTCGTCCCGTTTATTATTTTACGGAGTTGGTTGGGTACAATAATTGTCGAAAACTCTCCGTGTTTTCCCCTTTTGAGATAAGAACAACCTTGCATTGCTTCAAGACCAAGTTCTCATCCGTGTTTCATCCGCTCTAGATTAAGTACTTAATGCACGAGTTGCCGAAGGTATTTTTGGATTAGTATCACCATCAAACAAGAACAGGCTGTTTCGGTAGAGCTGAAGTGACAAGATTCCAATCAGTTACGGTCATTTAAGAAAACAGGCGATGTTGTCAAAAAACGTGGTTATTACCCTCATCGCTAATTAGGATTTATACCGGAGTAAGACCGAGTTTAGGGAGGACATGGAAAAAACAAAAGATCTAATTGGTAGAACAATAGCTCAGCACGTGCGTTTTAAGACTTTGTACATTTCTTAAATTGGGTCGTCTGCGAAAGCGACGGCAAATCATTTTAATTTCCATTTGGAACTCAACGCTTCTTTTATACGTTTAGGCTGAAGTTGAGGTGTGGCGCAGTTAGAGACGGTAAACAAATGCAGACATTTTTGAAATTCTAATTAAAGGCAGAAATTCATTTTTTAATCGAAGTCTTTCTTGGCGTTACCGTCCTGATCGTTTAAGGTCCCTTTAATTTTAAGAAATGACGACGGCGACGCCGAGGACAACGTCGGTTAAAAAATGAACTTATATTTTACCTACGAATCTCGCGATACTCTTAAGTCATTTGGTTTGCTTCTTACTGTCAAAACTATCTCGAACCTGAATATGGAACAAAGCGTTAAATAAGAAGAAGAAATTTAAAAAATTAGTCGTCGTCCACCCTCATCAGACAACGCAAAGTTTGGTCGTTTCACGTTGTTGTTTTGCAGAGGACACATAAAAATTTACAAATATTTATAACGCTCGTGCACAGCTATTGTTCTGCTCATTAATTAAATTCTTTGTTTGCTGACGTTCCCGTCGCCGTTGCCGTTGTGGTTTTCTTAAACTCCCGACAGAACAGATGGAAAATACGAGGAAAGTTAGACAAACTTTTGAGTGTTCACCCAACTTCCCAAGTGGGTTATTACTTCAGTAAACCGATAGAAAGAGCTGTCTGTTGCTTTCATCTTAAATACTGTAAACTTCAATCTTCCACGGGTTTATCAGTGCTATAAACGATAGGTTCAAAATTTTTGATCAATCAGGGCGCTCTGAGTATCTCATACCAGATATTGCATAGTGAAAGTTGATCCAAAAGAAGTTGTCAAATCTACATAGTGTCTTAAAAGCGTCTTGTGGGTTGTTTTTTTTCATCGACGTCTTTGAAAAGAATAACCTTAATTTAGGACTGCGAAGCCATGACCAGTCAAGCAAATTATTATGAGTAGCATTGGTAAACAGCAGAGTTAGAAATTCCAAAGTGGATCATTACTTCAAATAGATACAAGCTTTTGGGTTTTATTCAGGAAGGGTTTGTTGTTTTCTTTCTGTTTTTCTTTTCCGTGCTCGAAACACCTTTTTAATTTGAATTAAAAGATTTACATCAGTTTCACACTTGGATGCCAAGTTCTTGTATGTCATGTTTATGACTGTAACTAGGAGACTATTGACATAATAGTGTGAAAATGACGAAATAGGCTCTAGTATATTTCGAGAAAAAACTGCGTGAGCCGATTACAATTGATTATGGTGAAAACGTGATAGCTCAAGACATAACAAGCTGTGTTCCGTTGATTCTTTTCTTTGAGGCGGGATTGTGTTCATAATACCACAGTTTAGCAGGCGCTAAAATTAACTCGTTAAAATGCTTTGCATGATTGTTCAGTTAAAAGTCAAAACAATAGGAAATTCATAGTTAATCAACGAGAGAATCTGTGGGGTTATAAAAAACCACAGGACTACATTTCACAGATTTTTTCGCAAAACCACTTCAAGTAGACAACAGCACTTTACAAGCACACACGATATGCACGCAAGGGATTCGACAGAACTCTTAAGTTCCTCTTAACGTTTAGAATTATGGCTGGTTTTCATTCTTATTGTTCAACTGTGCTCTTTCATAGGAAAATTGATTGTACCTAATTGATAAAGTTTATTCGAATGCGATGAATGAAATATCTAAGCTCTAACAAAACAAATCCGCAGTAATTTATTAGAGCACGAAATTTTGAAAAGTACTTCAATTTGAAAATACCATGAGATATTTTGTAGTCGAGGAACTGATAAGTTTTTTAAAGTGTAGTTATTTTTGTCGATAAAATATAGGAACCAAAATACTTCTTTCGATTCCATTTCTCGTGTTGTAGGCATTTCACTCAAAATATATAATTCCTTAAATGGTCTTTGTGACTCGTGCATAGCTAAGAAATATCGACCGAGAAATTTTCTGTGCGGTCAGCGATTTACATGAGTAAAACTCGGCTGGTCTCAGCTCTTAGCTGTATCTGGCCACAGACCATATTCGGATATGATAACTAGAATAAACTTGTTTTGCTATCAAAGACACCGTGATGTACTGACCTGTTTTTCATCTTGAAAACCTCCAATTCTCGAGTGTAGTTTTGCTGTTTTTCCGTGGCAAAACACGTGGGAATCACTCTCCTCTCCAACATTTGGTACCTGACTCAAATCGAAGCGAGGCGGAGCGTTTGCGACAGAAAACTTTTTCAGCATTTCGTATAATTGCCAGACAAAACCCTGTCTAAATTTCGGCTTGTGAAAGCTTTTTTCTCGTGGGAGCTGAAGTACGATTTTCCACAATATTACAGAGACTAGATCGAGCTCTATTGGTTCTTACAGTTGGATGATCTCCTAGCGAAGAGTGTGAATAGTTTTCTGTTTTGACGAACACTTTAGCATCTGATATGCATATTCATTTCCCAATAAACAAGACAAAAACGCTGCCGAACTAAGAACAGAAGTGTGCTCCTAGTGAAATTATTTCACGGTCGCCTGTGAAATAGCCTCGAGGTTATAATTTCAAAAAAATGAGTTAAGCCGCATTTAAAGAAACATAAAAGAGAAATCTAATTGCGTCATGACCAAGCTGAAAGAATAAAAACAAAGAAGACTGCACAATAGAGTTGCAATTAACAGTTTCCATCAAATAAGAGTTGTTTTGAAAAGTCAACCATTGTCCGCTGGCACAACGCAATATATTCTACCCTGGGGGCTTTTAGCTATGCAAAATTTACGGTAACAAACAGCTTACTATTCAAAAGCTTTTGCACCCCTGAAGCGCAGCTGATTGCTCAAACTGACTAATTGACTTCAAAGTAGAAAACAGATTTGCTTTTTTTTTCCGTAAATGTTTTTAATGTAGGAAAGCTTGTGATCTATTATGCAAAGGTAGCTGGTGGGGTGGAGACCACGAGCAGTTCAACAAAGAATAAAAACACTTTAAAAAAGGCAAGTTTTGTCTGATATGCTCTACGAAGTCTGGTGAACGCACGGCGATGCGTAGGATTCAAGCCATAGTTTGAATTGACAGGCATCTCAAGCTCGATGTTAATAGAATTTTGAGGCTCTCTTACATGAATAATATTTTGTCTCCCAAAGTCCGCTGACATCAATCAAAGTCGATCACAAGCATCGACAAATGTTGCAAAATCATATAAATTTGTAACCGAATTTTTCAATATATGGCATGATTTTGGTTATTGAACTTCGGCTGGTAGTGTCTACTTTCTTCGAGAATGAGTAGGAATCTTCATCGTGGCATAAATAAGCTGACTCAACTTCACCACTACGAGCCCCCAAAATGGGCCTCCAAGCTGAAAAATATTCCACGATACTACGTTAAGGTAAGGAAATATAAAAAAAGCTTTATTCAGGGCTCTCAAGTTTGACTTCTGGTAAAGGGTGAAATGTTCCACCACATATCCATCGAGTGTGATACCGCGCTCGGCCATCACCTTTCTGGGAACGGGGTAGGGTGAGGAGGAGGGGGGGGGGTGGGTATGTTAGGAGGCATTCTTCCCCGAAAAAAAAATATAAAAAATGTATCTAAGACGTACACCCCCTTATTCTTGTTCTGAGCATTATTTATGGACAGAGACCACTGTACTGGTCTGCAGTCAGCAATTGTGACTGACTAACTTGACTCACTAATAGAACAAAAGGAAAGTAATAAAAAGTTTATCATCTAAAACCTCTGTTATGTGGATCTTAAACATTTTTGTAGGCC